GCCCGGCCCGCTGGCGCGTTTGCCCGTGCCGCCTGGTGACGGCCAGCGACGCCTCTCCCTCGGAGCAGCAAAGAGGCTCTCGGGGGAAAATGCCTCCAGCGCGGGAGAAGTAGGGGGTCAAAAGTTTGTTTACGCTCCCAGATCACGATTCCTCAAGTGTTTATTTCTAATGGGACGCACCCAACAACGCTCATTATGAAAAATTAGAATAGTTTGTGTCATTCAGGTTCGTGAAGCCTTCCGCTGGCCGAGGCCTCTCGCTTCTCTCGTGTCCAAGTAGACTGTAAGTAAACCAGGCCAGGAAGGTCTCTGAACTTGAGGAGAAGCTTCGGGAAGTCTCCAGAAAAGACAAAGAGTACACAGGGAAACTGTTCCCGATGTCTAAATATTTATCCAGAAGGTGGGTAGTAGGGAAGGACTAATTAGTATTAAAGATGTCAAATATCACACTTCTAATTATATTAGAAAAGGTAGCACAACGGAAAGTAAACCTGAATGCACATCTGAGATCATGAGACCCGCTGCCTAATCCGGGACTGCAAATTATTACATCACTTAGCGTATTACTGTTAGGTGGTGTTTCCTGACACAGTGGTTTGCCTCTTACAGGTTTAGTGCAGTTAAGACTATCTTTGCTATAATTGGACTTACTCCGTCTCCAGTCAAGCTTTGCTGGTTTTAGGTGTTCCCTTCTTACAATAATCTAGGCTTTTTATCATCTTTCTGTTGGGATTGCTCTGCCTAGTTACAGACATTTGCATGTCACAGCGGAGAACAAAGTGTCTCGTGTAGAAATGCATATGAAGCAGCCCCAAGACCCCTCAAGAAACCATAGAGAGTGCAAGCTCATTTGCCATCTGTGGGAACTACCCAAAGACTGGCCTAAAATCAGATCTCGGAAACAATGGAAGTTCGTGTTTTCATTCGGATTAGAATTCCGCAACAGAATTAGTGGAGCTGTTTAGTATTTATCTTGATAAAATAATCTTTCCCTTCCTCCGTGACGTTGCAAGACATTTCAAATACCGTCTGTGGTGGGAGATTTGCATCCAGTACCAGAGCGGTGGAATATTGCTCACTGGACACCACCACGTACAGCATTGTGGAGCACTGTTGTGTTGTGCGTAAGCAATTTGCTGTGTAGATCCTCATCTATAGCTGTGTAGATCCTCATCTCTAGCTGCATACTGTACTACCCTTAGGTGGTTTAATACCAGTTTAATTCCCTGCCACATAACTGATGACATGCGTTCTGCAGTTAAGAAAGGTCATGGATTTGTACACTCTCTCTGACATTGCTAATTATCAAAAAGATTTTATATATTTTATGGAATTAAAATACAATATTTTATGTAACAGTATTGCCTAAGTGGATGGAACCAATAATACCAATAGCACATTAAAAAGGTACGGCATGACCTCCAGTTCACAGGCTATCTCTGATTATCTCCTTAATGGGTATACAAACACAAGAAGACATCCAACCCTTGCTACCAAAACACAAGGAGAGTAACAGAATGTAAACACAAAGCTGCTAATGTACACACTGACACATGAATGACATTTACATTGTTCAGAATAAAATCCAGGATCTTCTTGAATAACGAGCAACAGAAAAATTGCTATAGCAAAATAATCCTTAGAATCAAACGCGGACTCATTTGAAATGGGAGTTTTTTCCTTAAGAAAATGGTGCAGCTAATAATAAAGTCTTTTAACCTGTATTTTGTTATAGGTGACAGGTGAACAAATCACAGGTCTTGAGTTTCTCTACCCTGCCTCTCTTGGTAACGTCATCTCCAGTACCATCTGCTACCTACCAGACAAACAGACCAACCACATAATGAGGTACCAGCTTCCACCCAGCTACCGTGACTAAATCAGAACAAAAGATTCAACGCCTCCTTCAACAAAGGAACACAAGTCTAAGCTGTCTTTGCTAATTGCTGGGTTTCAGGTTGTCTGTTACAGATTTTAAGTGAGCTACAAACTTCCATCAAATACTTATAGCTGTTGGATAAAGGTACTAAGAATAAAAGATAAATGGAAGCAAAAGGTAAGAGAGAAGAGAAGAAAGCTTAGAAAATAAGTAACTACTTATGGTAATTTAGACGCTGTGGAATAATATAAACATGAAAGACCAGGGGGCAGAGTGATTGATATCTCATATGTTTTCGATGCCCCTACGGTTATTAGACTGCAATATATGGGAACATACAATAAACTATGAATTAAAATGTAATTGTAGCTTCAGGCATCTTCTTCATTGTCTGCTGTGGTGTTATGTCTTCATGCACCGTGATTGACAAGGTGTAATTAATCATCTTACTCAGTTGTAAATATGGGCACCCTTCACAGTAGGCATCAGGAAGTGTGTACCAGCAAAGGAAGCAATAGTTGACGCTGATATACCATTAAATCAAAATCAGAACGCTTATATGTTCAGAAATGTGTGTTTGGTGTGACGCTGTTATCGTTTATTTCTAAAATACTGTACCAACAGATTTACTTGATTTGCAAGTTAACTACAACATTAACTGGTTTTATTTATTTTGTCTCTTCTTCATTTTTATAGGCAATGATGTTGTTCTCCTAAAATGTGAGACAGTTTGCTTCTTGTCAGCAAGTGGAGCTCAGCTCAGCTCTTCATCTCCCTGAGTTGCCGGAGACAGACTAGCATGCTTCAGATTCAGTTGCTCTCTAGACTGACTTGAAACGATTCAGGGAAATTATTACTCCATTCATATATCACTTTTCGCACTTCTTATATACCGAGTTAGACACTTAGGGTCATTTTAAAGTGGAAGCGAATAATGAAATAATCTTATTAAGAAATGCTGTTCAGTTTAAAAATAGGACATTCCTTGTCACAAATGCTGTCCCCTAACTGTAAATGAACATATTTTTAAAGATTTTTTTCAGTATTCCAGGGCAAGAAACATTTTATATCTGTTTCTTTTTCTAAATGATTGCTATCCTTATCCAGTTAGTGCAAAAATGGTGCATGAGTCACAGGAAATTTAAGTGGTTTGTCTCAGGAAAATTTGGTGGTATGCATTTTTTTGACGCACATAGAGCTGCTGAATGAATAATTGGCAACCTATTTAATGTCCCTTGCTTTAAAGCTGTCTACTACATTTGCTGTTTAAAAAAATGTCTTTCAAAGCTGTTAAATATGTAACAAAAAGAGGTTGCTATCACCATTCTGACATGAACAAAGCCATACAGTGAGCTGCCTGAGGTACTTCCAGCATGGTATTAATTACAAACACAATAATAAATGAAAATTTGCAAAGTTCTCAAATTCCATTTCTTTGCAATACCAGCTGATGAATGTTTTATAAAAGCATGCAGTAAAAATATCCGTTCAGGAATTAGCTATTAAATGTTACCTCAGCCAAGCGTTTTGGGGGGAGTATGGAATCTGTTGGATCTGTAATTTCACCCTTTACCCCTGACTGACTAAGATCTCTAGCTGTCTCAGAAGCAAACTGAGCTTAAAACAGTAGCGCACTTTCAAGAAGATGATCGACTAAGAATGTGTTTTATTTTGATTTGAAAAACTGTCAATCAGGGAGAAACAAGACCAAATAATAGTATTATATAATATTAGCTAATTGTATTTGTTTGGTAAACCAGGAATATGCAGGAAAGATAAAGCATACAGTTTAAAAGGAAAATATTCAGAATGTTTTGCCCAGATGTTGTGTTGAAATTGTTTGTCGCTGGTACAAGCAATAGATTACAGATACAAATACAAGCATGTATCTATAGATGCGAGAGAGAAATAAGATGCCCATTATCTTACGTATTTCAGTTTATATAGCCACAGCTATTTAAACAATTCCAAAACTGCCTCTACGGGTGTCAAAGAGGGAGGGAAATCTTCAACCACATGATCTTCTCTCCAGAGT